TATCCACCCTGCCACAGCACATCGAAGTCTTAGGAGATTTTAGCAGGATTTTGAATACAGAACTTATTTTTTCTTCTGATATTGTCATACATTTGTTTAAACTGTGGTTCTAGCCTGTGGTTCAGAGATCACTGAAGTCTTCACTGAAGATCACAGGTCTGCAAAGAGAAAGGGTTTCAAGTCACAATGTTAGTGCAACACATGAGTGAAGAAGGACACATGGCTTCTCTTTGCAGCTGTCTCTGGCTTTTTATGGCAAATCTGTGCAGCTTTATCACCTGAAATAAACTCGCTTTAGAAAGATTTTTGTAAAGCTGTAGGCATAAGCATAGATAATGTTGATTATGATCTGGGACCTTAAGTGGTTGCTGGAGGGAAGTTGAAATTAATTGTGAGTCCTTCTACAAGTTCTCAGGAGTATCTGATAGAAGTGTTATAATGACCTTTTAAGGATGAGTTGAATATTTTGCAGACTGTTGTACTATCTCCATATACGTTTCTAAAAATGATTTCTGTTTTCTTGCAGCCACTTCTTCACAAACTGTTGGTTATGAGAATGAAGAGCCTGGAGCAGGTAACAAGTGTGATGATTCCCTAAACCAGGGGAGCACAGAGGGGAGAATTCATTTTGCACACATCCTTTCGTAGTCCAAAACGTAGAATCATAGAATGACCTAGGTTGGAAGGGACCTTAGAGATCATCTAACCCAACCTCCCTGCCATGGGCAGGGACACCCCTCAACTAGACCAGGTTACTCAAGGCCTCATCCAACCTGGCTTTGAACATCTCAAGGGAGGGGGCATCCACAACATCTCTGGGCAATTTATTCCAGAGTCTTGACACCCTTGTACTGAAGAATTTTTTCCTAAGATCCAATCTAAATCTGTTTTCCTTTAACATAAATCCATTTCCCTTTCAGTACTGGGTCAAGTTTTGTTCAGTATCTGCATCAATGACCTGGACGAGGCGGTAGAGTGTACCCTCAACAAGTTTGCTGATGATACAGAACTGGGAGGGGTGACTGGGAAGGCTGTGCTGCCATCCAATGAGATCTGGACAGGCTGGAGAGGTGGACGGAGGGGAACCTCATGAAGTTCAGTAAGGACAAGCGTAGAGTACAGCATCTGGGGAGGAATAACACCAGGCATCAGTACAGATTAGGGAATGTCCTGCTGGAAAGCAGTCCCATGGAGAAAGACCTTGAAGTCCTAGTAGATAGTAAGTTGTCCATGGGACAGCAATATGCCCTTGTGGCCAAGAGGGCCAATGGGATCCTGGGGTGCATTAAGAAAAGTGTGTCCAGCAGGTCTAGGGAAGTTCTCCTCCCCCTCTACTCTGCCCTGGTGAGACCACACCTGGAATTGGTGCGTGGTGCCCCCCAGCAGCGGGAGCTTGTGGTCCACATGTAGCTATGAGGATGAGCTACGGGGATGATTAAGGGGCTTGAACATCTCTCCTGTGAAGAGAGACTGAGAGAACTGGGGCTGTTTAGTCTTGAAAGGAGACGGCTGAGAAGGGACTTTACTAACGTATACAAATATCTGAGGGGTAGGTGT